ATTCGTCTTCCGTCGGGTATGCCTGTAATTATCTACTAGCAATTGAATCTTAAATTAGATTTATATTATACTAGAAGAACCCGCGGCGGAAAAAGAAGGACAAACAAACAAACACTCTTTCACATTTATAATATTATACATATTTATGGATATGGATTATCTATACAGATAAATAAAATTAAATAGTGTGTTATAATGTCAAAATAACAACTTTTTACTCAATGCATATAATATTATAAATATATACGGTACTTATAAGAGAAAAACAACTTTTAAAATTTTTGTCTGCCTGTCTGTTTGTTCCGGCTAATCTCCAAGACGGCTGGACCGATTTCAACGGTACTTTCACTGGTTGATAGCTGATGTTATAAGGAGTAATTTAGTTGATTTTTATTTAAGAAAAAGAATTAGGATTATGCTCAAAAAAATGAAACGTACCTAGGAAAGCACCCGAGCGAAGCGAGGGTAAATCGCTGGTATATATACTACAACTATTTATTACCTGATACCTCTTCTCTTGCCATGAACCTAAAAGTTGTAGTTAGATAGCCTTAATCTTTTACCATTGAAAGTAAAGCGAGTTCAAATCTGGGCATACACTTCTGATATTCTTAAGAGCAAACCTGCATGTTTGAGAGAATCTAACTAGTTTTCAAAAGGTATGTAAAGTCCGCCAACCCCAAAGTTCAGCATAGTGGAATATGGCTTGAACCCCATCACATTGAAGAAAAGCCTATACCCAGCAATAAGACGATAAACAAGAACATATACAATCTGATTTGACATTTAATATTTATTATGGCTCACAATTTGCTAGCACGCACTATCGATTTTAAAATAGATTGCTTTAAATAAATAAATAAATATGTTGAGACATTAACAAACAGCGCCATCTAGTTCCATGGTAAGCTACGAGGGCTGCGTTATGGATACCAGATAGTTGATACACTACACATATATAACTTTAAATACATACATATTATAAATATAAACACCCATGACTTTAGTACGAACATTCATGCTCTCGTCACACAGCGGGACTCGAACCACGACACAGCACGTAGGATCACAGTCACTGCCACAAACTAAGTCAAACGTGTCGTCAAAAGCTTTGCACGAAATTCTGTTATTTACTTTCCCTAACTCACACGAGGTTCATATAATAGCTATACAAAGATTTTCTTTTATCTTATCCCGATCTATTGTAAGTATTCAAAGAAATGCTTTACTATCGACATGACAAGAAAAATAATTTTCCCCGATGTGTGTTTGATAAAAGAATATTTGGTAGTAAACAAGGTGTGGTATAATCGATACATATAATAAAATTGTAACTAAGCCGAATCTGTACATTAAATATTTTTTGGAAAATCTTATCGAAATAAACATTATTATCGATACAGAGGCCGAATCTATAATTTTTAGAATTTTTACCTGTCTCGTCTGTCTGCCTGTCTGTTACCGCATCACAGAAAAACTACTGGAGGGATTTTGATGAAATTTGGTATGGTGATAGCTGGCACTTTGGGTCAAAATATAGGACACTATTTACCGCGAGAAAATATTTCATTTTTGAGAAAAAATACAAAAACTGCAATGTAAGAGTATACTAATATGTAAAACCTAAGAATTTGGTTTTTGGTTATCTAAACGCGGGCGAAGCCGCGGGCAATGCTAGTATCATATAAATTGTGTAATGTAATAAAAAAGTTTGACTTAGATACTTAAAAGTTTAATTTTTAGGTATTTATTCGTATTCTTCTCAGCAAACCCTTTCATTTAATATTCATAACATGGGAGTGCATAAACAAAACATAGTCCACCATCGTTGGGAATTCGCCATGTTGGAATGAGAATTACGTTACTTATCTAACCATACATTGTCATCTAAACTAAACGTGTATGCAAAATTTCAGCCCCATCGGTTGAGGATAACTATTTTAATATTCAGTTGCAAGATATGACCAGAACAAACATACATACAAACATTGTAAGTTAAATAAAATCTTGTAAAAACTGCTTAATTTTTCAAAATTGACACAAGATTATTAGTTCATTTAAAAAAAAAGAAGAAAGTTACGAAAAATAAAGCAAAAGCTATGAGCTTTGAGCTTATAAAAAGGAAGTAACCCTAAAAAAACTATGTACTCGTATTTTACGAACAATGGCTATGCTTAAAATCGAAATATCAATTTGTAGGTTGAAATCAACTTCTATTGTTTCTGTGCATAGTTATTTGTAACCCCCGTCGCAAAAAGAAGGCCGTTAAAAGTATACCATGTGTATCTATCTGTGTCATCGTAGTGCCCAAACGGATGAATCCATTTTAATTTAGTTTTTTCGTTTGAAAGGTGATTTGATTGAGAGTGTTTTAAGCTATAAACTAAAAAAAATAAGCCGTTCGCAGGTTACCAGCCCTTTTCTAGACGGTAAAAGGATATGAGCAACACAATATAAAAGTATAGTCTGGAATAGCATATAGGTTACTTTTTATCCCGGAAAAATGTACGTTTCCCGTGGGATAGATTTGTTTTTGTTTTTCTAGAGGCGAACCCGAGTGAAGCGAGCGTGATCCACTAATGGGAAATATGCGTGATGCATGATCGTATACGCAATAAAGCAAATAGTTGCATATAAAATTTTGCTATTGTTTTATGGAAGGCGAGAATATCGTATGCAAGAAAATTTACATTGAATAATTATTATAAGGACTTTAGATTTAACATTTCACAATGATTTATTTTACCACAATTGTAACAAAACCGTATAAAAGGTACTAATTTATATCCTCACTTAAAGCCATAAATATACGAGGCAAAGTAGTTAAATAAAATATATATATACATATTGTAACTAATGTACCCGACAAGTAGATGTTGTCCTATAAGAGGTTGAAAAGGGTTTATTTTTTGTTTCAGAAATCCAATAAAATATAGATAGACTTTGGTTGAAACATATAAAAATCTGGATATCTGCAAGCGCCACCTACTGGGTCTAAATATGCCTTAGAACAATCTGTGAGCCTATAAGGTTCCGAAAGGTTTCATCAAAATCGATCAAACCATTTAGATGAAAAAGAACACACGCATACTATAATTTTATATAAAACATATATATTAAAACAACAGTTATTGGTGCCATATATGTGCACTAAATATTTTAATTTAATTAAAAACGTCGTAAAAGTTAATACTCGTAGCATTTATATTTTTCTTATTGACTGTACTTCCCAGAAAACCTTCATTTCAGTGGAATATTTTTGAATGTAAAGTTTAAAAGCTGATATAATATAGAGTCTAAACTTATTTTTTAATTAAAAAGAACTTAAAAAAACGACTTCTAGGCACTAAAATGTAAAAAATAACTAAACGTAGGTTTACATTTAGAATAGATACCTAATCAGATATTTTCGAAGTCGGTGCCAGGCGATGCAAAGCAAATCTAATTAATATATTTCGATATCTAAAATACATATTTACCTATTAGATATTCATACCTTTAAATATTGTGGGCTACTAAAAAAAAAAGATTCCGACGAATTAAGAACCTCCTTTTTTCGGGAAGTCGGTTAAAAAAATAGAAAAAAAAATTAATCCGACTGCGTAAAAACTGAACTACAAAATCGGAACATGTTTGTGAAGGAACATAGTATTATGCAATCAGAGACATGTTTTATAGTTGCTACGAGTCTTGCAACGTGTGCATATGTATGTATGTCTCCGATTCCATATTGCATACGTATAGGTCAAACACATAACTCTTCTTTGGGTTTCGCCGCAGTCGGGTAAAAGGGTAAACGGACATCAAAATGACCATCCAGTAGTTGTTGCCTTAGGGTTCATTTCTGGGCTTTATTTAAATATTACTTTACTAATTCATTCATACCTTCAAATAATCAAAAACCTATCAAAGAATTGTGGGTTAATATGAATATACGTACAAAAAATGATAAACAAAACTATTTATATATATTTTATACATATTTTATACATATATATGTATTTTAAATGACGACTTGCTTCTTTACAGCATTATTTTTACCAGATATCAAATTATATTACCTTTCATCAAAAACGGACAGACAGACAGACAGACAGACAAAAATTCTAAAAACTATAGATTCAGTCTCTTTATCGATAATAATGACTATTTCAATAAGATTTTCCAAAAAATATTTAATGTACAAATTCAGCTCAGTTAGAATTTTATTATATGTACCTATAGATTTACATTATAACACATTTCTTATAAGCTTTTGAATATAAAATAAACATCGAAACAGATATTAAATTAATTTTATCAAAGAAAGTTCGTTCGAAGATTTAAGTACGTGCTTAAATATTATATTCGACGTAAAATTATATATTCATTTAAGCTTACGGGTTAAATTGAAAGAGAAATTAAAAAATACTTATTAAAATATATCTTTCAGATTTCAATATAAAATTTTATTGATAACTAATTACCTAGATACCTTTCACATTTATATTATTACTACCCCGCTCGGGTTTGCCTCTAGAAAACAAAAACAAATCTATCCCGCGGAACCGTAATTTTTTCCGGGATAAAAAGTAACATATGAGCTATTCCAGACTATAATCTATCTCTTTGCCAAATTTCATGTGGATCCGTTCAGCTTTTCTAGTGTGATTGAGTAACAAACATCCAAACATTTAAACTTTCACATTTATAATATTAGTAAGAATATATCGGTAGCTTTTCTCGCAAAATATTCTTAAATTATAAGTTCATAATATAATACTTTCATAGATAATATCTTTTTCTATTAGTGGAAACCTTATAAAAATCTTTGATGTAGTTTCTGAGAAAACCTAAAATCAGCGCGGTATTTATTTATAACTAGTACACCAATTGGTGGAAACTCAATAATAAATGTTATTGCGAGTGTAGGCACAAATATAGACACATCTTTTTAATATTTTTGATTAAGTTCTCATTTTTAATAACGTATATTATATATATATATATTTAGTACGTACCAGCGTATATAGTGCTGAGGCGTAGCATCCTCGACGGAGACTTCGCCAGCAGCAGCATGACTGGATTATAGGCATGGTGATGTCCTGGTTCCTGAAAGAAAAAATATTAAATAATACTTCTTTTCTTAGTTTTCTCTGTTATACTTTTATTTCATCCCTTATTTGAAACTAAAGCACCTGAATAAGGCTTATTATAAGGATTATTATTTTACCAGGAATCTCAGCATTACTTATTAAAAAAACGTGTTTTAAACAAATAGAAGTGCATCCATTGAAATATGTAAAAATTGGAAATGTGATATCGTGGTTTTTAGAACTATTAAAATTACAATAGTCTACATGGTATAAGTAAGGCTACAAATTTGCCACACATTATTTTCACTTACATTCGTAATATGAGTATACACTGATAAAGAAACCAAACAAAACATTTTCTACTGACTCGACCCAATTTATTAATACTGTCATTGCTCAGCTCCTGTACGTGCTATGCCAATTTTAATTACACTTGGTTCTTCCTAAAGAAATAAAGATGCGTATGATAAAAGAAAAAAATCACGTCTAAATTCATTCAGTACTTTTAATATTATTTTTTTAAACAGACAGACGGATAAACACTTACCGGGGACTTATTTTTATATATAGGGATAAGATAATATGAAAAAATAATAATTATAAATTTGAAAAACGCCCTACGCAAATTAGTGTCATTTAACGATTACACTGGCATGCGTGAAGCACTTGCTGAAAATGCATTATTTTTGAAAAAAGCTGGTACTTTTACAGTGCTGGACCGATATTAACTAAACCTAGCTAAGAACCACCGCGAGGAAACGGGCTTTCAAATGAAAAAAAGCATCGAAATCGGTCCATCCGTTTGAGAGCTATGATGCCACAGACAGACACACACACAGACAAACATCGGCGTCAAACTTATAACACCCCTCTTTTTGTGTCGGGCGTTAAAAATAATTTCTAACTCAGACTTCTGGCGAGTAAAGATGCCATAACAACGCATTTAACACTACTAATAACTATTATAATCTTTATTAATATGGCCTGTTAATGAGAATTTCATAAAAAGAACTTCGTTATGTGACCTGATATTAGAACCCCAAATTTTTCGAAATGGTATAAATAACTAGCTTTATGTTGTACTAGCGACTCACACTTGCTTCTATCGGGTTCGTCCCTAGGTTGTTTCCCCACACAAACTTTCATCCCCATTTTCACCCCCTTAAGGAATGATTTCCGAAATAAAAAATATTCTATGTCCTTCCTGGGATACAAATCTTTTCTTTTTATAATAGTAGTATAAGTGTAAATGTAGAAGTGTAGATTATCTACAGGAACAAAACGGACAAAAGTATGACATCTTTTTTATATATATACTTGTGATATCCACTTGAGAAGTTCTACTTGCTACAATTTTGAACTTAATATTGAATCTTTAACTTTCTATCGAACTTTTAAAATAACATTTTCTCATATGACACAGAATATAGAAACCATCTCGTCTGTATGGTCACGTAATATACTCGTGCCAAGGATTTGGTTTTAAAATATTCTTTAAATAGCTAGTTGTCTTAACATAAATATATACATGTCTTCATATATATATATATATATATATTTATATATATATATATATATATATACATACATACATAAATTTTATAAATTATTTACAAATGAATTGCAACTTCAAAAAGAAAACGTTCGATCCAATTACACGGCATTGAAAATTACAAAGCTTGTATTTTAGCGCATGGTTCGTTAAAATAAATATTTTTCATCTATATTTAATATGTTTAGGGGATAAGAACAAGGCGCGTACGGCGTGGTTGAATAATAGTCAACACTGCTAGGGTTGTCACTTGTCAGCTAAGTAATAATTGTTATAATTAGGACTGAGCTAGTGATGTGCTAGTTTCAAACTAAGTCCAAGGTCTTGTGTTGTCACACGATTAACAATCATTTTCCATCGATAGCAGCAGTTGCCAGTGGATTAATATGACTTAATTTATCACGGTAACTTGTTAACATGCACAGTGCGACCATGAAAATATTTATAGACTAGTGTTCTGTGTTAGAATAGAAATATATTCTGTACTAGCTCACTTTACTCGAGCGTGTCCAAGGATAGCCAGCTTTTGGCATATTTTATTACTAATACCTCTTTTTATTACATACACTATTTATTTCTATTAAATATTCCAATTCGTCAAATTGCTTTGATTAGCGTTGTTCAATCAGTTTATTTTCATTTATATTAATTTTTTATTATAGATATAATAAGGTTTGAATAAGTTTATACCTCCGAATGAAATTTGCAACTAAATATTTAACAATTACACATTAAATTATGAATATGAGTCGCGACAACCCTACAAGCTACAAACTACAAGCATCGACAAATGATTCATAAAAAGGATAAACATTAAATTATTACCAGAACAGCCGCAAGAGAAACAAATGATTATGTACGAGCTTGAGTATTTGTAAAAAATGTTCTGACGCATTCTAAAGTTATATTATTTCTAATGCCAATGGTATTGCTTATAATATATCATCTAAATGTATTAGTCTAAGATCCCGATCTATCTGGACCCCCCTCTCTTTCTCCAGGCGAAATACGTTTTTTTTAAACCATAAAAATATTAACAAACAAGACCCGGGCTGTCACCAACAATTGGCTCCAGGCTATTTTTAATAAAAACTCCTCTAGTCTGGAGATGTTTTGGTATAACAACCTGTATGACTAAATCTATTCATATAATAAAACTGTAAATGTCATATGTCTGTACATAGAAGGAAAATGCTCCAAATGATCCACTACATATATCGGGATCTTAGACTATATATTTTAGCCGGAACACTACTTCAAATTATTCGTATTCATATTAATGACAAGTTTGGCTTAGTTTGTGACCCTACTTGCTGTGCCAGCGGTCGCAGGTTCAACTCCCGCTGGAGGCATTCATCTGTGTGATGAGCACGAATGTGTGTACTCCAGTCATGGTTGCTTACATTTATAATATGTATGTATTTATTGTTATATATGTGTAGTGTATCAACTATCTGGTATCTATAACACAAGCCTCGTAGCTTACCATGGAACTAGATAGTGATGTGCGTTAATGTCCCAACATATTTATTATTTATTCGTCGCAAGAAAATTATTTATTGTAATTTGAAGATCTTTTGGTCGTAATTGATTCAAATCTTATACATATTGGTAAATGTTACAAATAACAGTTCTCCGCAAGGCATTGTGTCAAATTCTCTGAAAATATTCCGCGTAAACATCAATAAAAGCTATATTAATTTCCACTTCAAAACGTAATTCATTCATTCATTACCTGACTAGCGAATCACCCACGCTCTGTTCGGGTTTGTCCCTAGTTACGTTGAATAATATGAATACGAGCAGAACTCGCAGCTCACTAAACGTTAACGCGGACAAAGCCACGGTCTAAAAAACCCTTCGTTCCCTTCCCTTTATAATAATGTATGGAAGTCTGCCCAATTTGTTGACATTTACTGCTCCGCTCGCTTGAGCAGTAGCATGATGATATATAGCCTATAGCCTTCCTCGATAAACGGGTTATCTAATGCAAAAAGGATTTTCAAATCGGATTAGTAGTTCCTGAGATTAGCGCGTTCTACCAAACCAACAAAAAATAAACAAACTCGGACTCTTTATAATATTGGTATAGATTAAGAGTTTATTTTGGTCTGACATTTTTTTAGAAAATAAACCAAAAATTTAGGGGGAAGAAAATTTCGTAAGAAAAAAATCTACTTGGTAAATAACGGACTACCTAATGTGTATATATATATATATATATATATATATATATACATACTACATACATACATCTAGTGAACGTTAATATCTATATACCATATAGACGCAAAAATGCCTTAGAAGTCATTTACCATGAATAAAGTATTGTAAAGTAAGAAAGCGTCACCAACATCATAAAATAAGGGCGAAACGTTTCTGAAATAAGATTTTCATATTTAATTGCTCGTGCTTCTTGAAGGGCATTTAGCCGAAATGAAAAACGCCTTTGTAGGACGCTACGAGTTTGAATTTTCAGACACTAAATTTTCATGATTTATTAATGAAATTATTTATTTATGAACTAGGTTGGGGCTGCGTATTCGCCTTCTCTTTTATTTGGATCATAAGCAAATGTATATAAATTTGTTGATAAAATATGAACATGAATTCTAAAGGTTTGGAAAGAGTGAGTCTATACATTTTATTCAGTAAGGATGGGTTTTCCATATAGAGATAAGTTATGTCGTTATGTTTTATTTTTTCAAAGAAGAATCTCCTGTCTTTTTTCCTTTGAAAAAAGAAAGGGCAGGAGAGTTGGGAGGAGCTATGTTGGTATCTATGACTAAGCCATGTACATGAGAACGTAAAAAAAAGTGCACTGTGTTCTACGGTTTTCATTAACCAGCGTTCGCCCTTTGGTCAAAATTGGACCATAATATCTGTAACTAGGTTACTTCCCCATACAAATTTTCATCCCCATTTTCACTCCCCTAAGGGATGATTTCCGGAATAAAAAGTATCTTATATATCCAAAAATAATATAAATAAACTTAAAAAATAACTAATTATAAAACTAAACACAAAGTCCCATCTGAATAATAATTATAATTTTGTACGGCTTTAGAATCGCTAAGGAGAGAATTGATTTCTATCCGGAATAGGCGTTAAACTTGTGGTAACTTCGAAAATAGCCTGAGGAGTAAACCATCAAACTTGTAATCTGCGATTCATTCCAGCTTTTATAAAGTAGAATCACAAAACTACATTTTCTACTTTGCCTTCTAATTTTTCCTGTTTCGTTATATATTGTGTTATACATTTCATAAAAAGGCTAATTTTGTGAATCGTGAATACGTGAAAAATTATTTAACTTTAAAAAATTACTTCATTCCAGATGGACAAAGATTGTTCCGCAAATTAACTAAAATGGCTGATTTACGTCTCTGAAAAAACCACTCAACGTATCCTCTACAAGATTATTGTCTTCAGAAGCATTTCAAACGCTATATGACCTTAATTTC